TATACGACGGGAGGCCAGGCCCGTGGTCAGACTGGACAGCGGGAGAGAGCGACCGCCCCGATCCCGTCGGCCGGGGCCCCTGCCGCCCGCCGCCGAGGCGGCCGCGCTGCGCTCCGCAGCGGCGGCGGCGCTGGCGGCGGCGTCGGCCGCGGCCGCGCGCCGCTCCTTGCGCGTCATCGGTTCCTTGGCGTCGCCCAGGGAGGGCCAGGCGCTCGCCAGGGGAGCGGGGGCGGAGGCCTCCGAAACCGCGCCCTCTGCGCCGCCGTCGCCGACCCTGGCGGGCACGTTCCAGGCGGGCTTGGTGGGGCGGGAGGGCTCCTCCTCCTTGGGAGGGGCGGCGGGCTCGCCGCCCTCGGGTGCCGGCTCGGAGGTGGGCTGCCCCTCCTTCGCCAGCTCCTGGGACTCCTCCTTGGACGTGGCGGGCTCGGACCCCTGGCTGGGGGCCGCGCTCTCCGGGCTGGCACGGGCGAGGGGGGGCTGCGGGGGAGAAGGAGCGGGCTGCTCCGGAGTATCTGTCGGGGTCTTGGCCACCACGGCGCTCCAGGGCTTAGTCAGGGCCTTGGGGGCCGGGGGGCTGCCGGGCATGGGCTTGGCAGTCGATTCCGCCTGCGTGGGTGCGAGATGCAGCGTCGGAGATGACGCCATGGGCGGGACACTTGGGACACGACGACCTGCATGCCAGGCGGGTGAGGGTGCCGGGGACAGCGCAGGGCCGCCCATTCTGCATCGTACCTGCGCGATGGGTGCCTCATGTATTGTATCGGAGTCCGAGGCCCGGGGACTGCGCGCCTCGCTCACCCCTGCCTCCGTGGACATCGCTGCGCCTGCTCGGCAAATGGCCTCTCAGACACTGGCGGGAAGGGGAGGGACCCAGTGACTCTACTCCAGCCACTGGATATTCTTTGGCGAGGACAGCACCGAGACTAGGGGGGTGTCCCAGGAAGGCGGTGGGTACGGGGTGTAGAAACCGGTGTGCGTCGGACAGGGGTGCGCACTGCACAGGGTGCCTGATACTGATAATTCGCCCTTCCTTACACGAGGCTTTTGCCTGTGTCTGTCGCGGTCAATGTGCATGCGTAGTGGGAGGGCATATGTGCTGTGCTGGGGACCGATCGGGTCGGGACGGCGCAGCCTGGATGGGGGCGCTTGCCATCGATTCCCCGGGCCTAGGATGTTACTTCAAGAATTTCTACGTCAGCTGGAAGGGACCCGCAGGTGCCCCACATCATACTACCAGTCATGCAACACATATACATGCACGGATGAGGTTTATGGCACGTCGCATCGAGAGCAGCACCCGTGCTGCCGCGAGGAGGCAGGTGCCGGGTGTCCACCCACCCCCTAGGTGCGAGCGGGGCATCACCGTCGGCTAACAAAGACCCCATACCCTTCGCCCGTATTTTCCTTGCTGCAGTTGTCATGAGTGTTCTGATAATGAGGGATAGGCACAGGGAGCACCTGGAGTTATTTCGGTTGTCTGCTCCTGTCGTCGCCAAAGCCCGCCGGCCATCTCAGCGATGCCACGGCAGCCCTGTCTTGAAAGTAGTAAGATGTCTTCAGCCAAGAGTAGGCATGGTGTAGGAGCGCATTGGCCTTGGCGTTGCGGAGGCGGTCTCCTGCACACCGCGCGGCAACGCTGTCCACCTTTTCCTCCAACACCACGAGGTGGCGCAGCAGCCCCGACTGGCACGAGTCCAAAAATCTTGGGGCCGTGGGTAGATTGGGGGGCTGGGTATCCCGGATGAATGGACCACAGGCACTGGCTCGATCATGGGGTGATATCCACGAACAGCTCACATGAGTGGCGACAAGTTGCCAAGGGGCGCAGTGGGGACTTCCTCCCGGCCATAGCAGCAGCGCGGAACAAGCACGCGCCTCCCTCCCTGCACCCTCACCCACCTGGCGTCGGTGAAGTAGTGTGCCAGGGTCACGGCTGCCTCCCGTGCGTCCTGGCCCGTGCATGTTGCAAAGAGGGATGCATCGACGAGGACATGGGAAGCGGCTTGTGTCTCAGGCTCCGCACAAGGTTCGGCAGCAGGGCTGGGCTTCGCTTCCCCGGGGGCTGTGGCGGGCCTCGCAGTTCCTCCCTGTGGGACGGGGCATGGTGGGTGCCGGCTTGGGGCCTAGGACAGCGTGCCATGGAGCAGGCAGCGATCCGCAGGACTTTTGTGCATGTGCCACAAGTGGATGCGAATGAAGAACCTCGTCAGGAAGCGCGCATGGTCTCATGCCTCAAGACAGGCAATCCCACGCTCACTGGAATCGGCGAGGCATGGAAGAGGGGCGTGGGGCTTTCCAGCGGTGGGAAGGGAGGGTCAGGGCTGAGCAGGCCCAGCAGCGGCAGGGGAAAGGCGGGGCTGCACCCCAGCTGGATGGCCAGAGGGGTGGGGCACGCGGCCTCAGGCTGCGCCTGCGTGTTGGACAGCATGGACACCGTGAGGAAGGGGTATGGCACCGCCTGCACCAGGGCGCGAGATTTTCATGCCCCCGCAGCATGGCAGGCCGCCTCGACATCATCACTTGCCTGGGCCAGGCCCACAGCGGGGCTGAATGCGGTCCGGCAACCTCCTTCCAGGGGTCCTGACATGCGTGTTGTCTCCAAGGGAGTCCCTCCAGGTTCGAGCCCTGCGCTGTGCACTTGTCCAGTGGCGCAGCCAGGATCTGCACTGTATGCTGCCCTGGCTGAGGAGGACGGCAGGGAGGTGGAGCGGGCGGGGTGGAGGGGCGCCGCCTGGGTGATGCCCTTCCTCTGGGATGTCCCTGGGCGGCCTGGTATCAGCCTTGCAGGGGGCGCACTCTGGAGGAGGGGGGGCATCCGTCGGTGGGACAAGGACCAGGCGTGCGTCTGTTACCCGTGGGAGTGCCCCGCACGCTCCCAATGCACTTGCCCCCGCGCGGCCCCTGGGCATGCCCCATGCTCCCCTCGTGCCTTCTCCTGCTCGGTCTCGGAACTGGAGATGGGCTCATCCTCCCCATCCTCCTCCTCTGAAGTCTCTTGAGGACTGTCCACGCGCATCTTGCGAGCATACCGCTGCTTCACCAGGCGGCCCTGGAGAGAGAGGTGGACAATGGTGGGTCAGAGGCAAAAGCACGGCGGCCTTGTGCTTCTCGCGTCTCAGCCACGGTGCACAACCTGTCTCTGGCCCATAGGCTATCCCAGGAGCCCTACACTCGGGATGCAGGTATGCCCATTTTCCCACCATTCTCGCCTCGTAGGGCTTGCATCCCCTGATGTCCCCGCCCCCCTAAACCCACAACTCCATCTCTACAAAGCACCTGGGTCGGCCTGCAACCACGCTTGGTTTGCGCCATGATCACTGAGTTGTCTGGCATGGGGGGCAAGTAGCCCTGGTCGATCCACTCCTTCAGTCCGAAGAGTCCCTCCTGCGGCCGTATGAAGACGGATTTGTGGTCTCGACGCTTGATGTCGCCATAGAGGGAAGAGGCCATGGTTGCCTCGGGAGTCCTGCCCGAGCATGTCAGCAGGCCCCACTCCAAGGCCAGCCTGCGAGCAGATATATGAAGCGACTTGAACCCAGATACAGTGAGGATGCGCTGAAGCGCAGCATACATGGTGGAGTCTCTGTTTTGCCGGGATCCAATGGCATCGTGTGTTGCAATCTGTGCTGAAGTAAACCCACACCGCCCAAGCACCCGTTCCTTGTCCACACCCCAGCATGCCTGCATATCTCGCCAGTTGGCATGAGACGTCTTTCTCGACGCAGCACCTCCACAGCTGCCGACTTGAAGATGCCGCCGGTGGGAAGGACAGGGACGCTTGGACCCAGGGAAGCAGTATTTCGAGGCTGGGCATGGTCTGACCTTGCATGCCCACTCTGCGGAGACACTTTATACACGTTCATGGCTTGGAGAGTTCAATAGCCGGTTTCATGATCCGCCTTGACATGGATGTGCAGCGTACCATAGGATCTTGACCGGGAGGTGACGTCCACCTCTCTGGGCTCCTGGTGGACGGTAGGGGTGTGGTGCAGGCACCCTCTCGGCCCGCTGCTGGAGATGAGAATCCACCCTAGTTCAGATTGATGTCATATTCTGAAGTGGGTTTCCATGTCAGAGGACATGGCGGTCCATTGGATCTTGGATGGGGCCGATCGGTGTCGAGGGAGTGGAGTATCCCGACCGCCACGTGGTCACAGTAGGCGGTCGAGGGGGAGTCCACGGCTCGAATCCGCGGCTGGCACCAGCGCCAAGCTCTGAATATGTTTGTTGAGAGTTGTCAGACTCACTGCAACCCTGCAAATCCACCATCTGAGGGGCTGGCGGTTCGGGAGGACGACTCTGTGGGAGTTACCCGATCTGTCGAACCGTGGTTCATGCGGTGTGGTAGAAAGGGCGCCCATATTGCGACCCTGGGTTGGGGGCGGCTCTCCGCACATTGGGCACCAGCGAGCCAGGTGCTGTCCTTTTAGAGTTTGATCGAGAGCCCGGTAGGACCGCCAAGGGGCTCCTACAACCATGGTTCGCGGACCTAAGAAGCACCTGAAGCGGCTGAATGCGCCCAAGCACTGGATGCTGGACAAGCTGGGCGGAATTTTTGTGAGTCCCGCGGATGGTGGATGGACGGTGATGGTCTGTCCCCAATCAATGGCAGGATGCTGGCCCGCGGTCGGCGCTCCGGGGCTAGGCCTGCGCCGGGGCCCCACCAGTGTGGTCCGGCATGCCCTGCGATGGCTCCCGCCACTCTCCGTCACCGTTCCCCTGGCCCTCCCATGCAGGCTCCCAAGCCCAGCGCCGGCCCACACAAGACCCGGGAGTGCCTGCCACTCATCCTGCTGCTGCGCAACCGTCTGAAGTGAGTGCCGACCACCTCTCGACCCCTGGGCGGGAGAACTGAGTGTCCCTCCGTAGTATCTCCCATCTGTCCCATGGCTGCAACCGGTGCCCTCTCCCCCTCTCTCCTCCCCTGCAGGTATGCCCTGACCGGTCGTGAGGTCGTGGCCATCCTGAAGAACCGCCTGGTGCAGGTGGACGGCAAGGTGAGGACCGACAAGACCTACCCCGTGGGCTTCATGGATACCATCACCATCCCCAAGACCGGTGCGTTGGCATGGCTAGGGTCTTGCGGGATCATGGGAATACCGTCGGCCCAGAGGAAGCCACGGCAGGGATTTTGGTCATCCTGGAGTGTACGTCGGCCTTGGTTGGCTACCCAGGCACGCTGGGGCTCGCATCCTGTTGCACGCTACGGGCGTGTGCCCTCCTGACCTCGTGTCACCAAATGGGGTGTGGGAGCAGCAGTGGGGCGCCTGAGCGGGCTGATGTGGCGACTGTGACTCGTAGGTTGCAGGCCCCCGAGCCTGCGCCACAGCCCCCTCCCCTGAGTCCTCCCACCCCTTCCCCGTTCCCCTCACAGACGAGCACTTCCGCTTGGTGTACGATGCCAAGGGGCGCTTTGTGGTGCACCGCATCTCCAAGGAGGAGGCCACCTACAAGCTGTGCAAGGTGAAGAGGATGCAGTTCGGCAAGGGCGCCATCCCCTACATTGCCACCCACGACGGCCGCACCATCCGCTACCCCGACCCTGACATCAGGGTGAGTGCTCGCTTGGTGTGTTGTTTGTTTGGGAACTGAGTGGGGATGGCTCGTGGGGTGCAAAGAACTCTGCACCGAGGTGCCCAGCGTGGGGCCTGGGGGACCTCGCCACTGGGGACCTGTTTTCGCACCCGGTATGCCATTCCTGCCACCCATACCCCCACCCGCTCGGTTGCGCCGATCTTCATCACTCATTCTTTCGTCAATCTCCAGGAAAACGACACCGTCCTGCTGGATCTGGAGACCGGCAAGATCCGCGAGTTCGTGCACTTTGACGTCGGCTCCCTGGTCATGGTGACCGGCGGGCACAACAACGGGCGCGTGGGCACCATCACCCGCAAGGAGAAGCACAAGGGCTCCTTCGACATCGTGTACATCCGCGACGCCGTGGGCCACTCCTTCGCCACCCGTGCCACCAACGTGTTCGTCATCGGCAAGGGCGACAAGCCGCTGGTCAGCCTGCCCAAGGGCAAGGGCATCCGGCAGTCCATCCTGCAGGAGCAGGCCAAGATCTTTGGCAAGACCGCGGCCGTGCACTGATCGCGTGTGCTGTAAGGCAGTGAGGAGGGGAGAGTTTGGGGCAGCGAGGGGGTCGGGGAGGGGCTGGGGGGCCGGGACGCACGTGGGCGATTCCCACGGGCGCGAGCAAGCAAGAGTACTTTCGCGAGTCACATGGTACCGCCCGTTCCCTCGCCCAACCACCGTCCGAACTGGGATCCCAGCCAGCACATGAGGGCCTGCTCGCCCCAGTCGCCCCACAAGCAAGTAGGGAATGGATATCAATGTGGACGCGACGGTGGGAGGCAGGGGCCCACCCCACCCTAGGGACGTCAACCTGAAGGTCCGCACCCACCCCCGCATAGCCGCACTCAAGGTGATCTGAGCCGGCAATGCCTGCCGGGGTCTGCTGGTTGGATTTGGGGATGTGGGGCCTGGGACACATGCCGCGAGGGCGAGGGGCGGGGGTTCCGGCGAGGCCCCAACCACCGAGGACCCGACACCCAGACCTCGGAGACCAGGCGGGCCCCCACCGCCCCGGTCTCTGCCCGGATCTGACCATGCAATGACGGCTAGAGCTCGAATATTCATCCATGCTCGCCATCCCTGGGGTGCAGGGAGACGTGGACTGCCAGATCAGCCCCCACAGCCCCCTCGTGAGCACAGAGCTCGACGAGAATGGCTGGGTTTGTGGTGAGCAGAGGGAGGTGTGGGGTCTTGGTTGTGAGACTTGAGGGGAGAGGGGCTTGCCTACACGCAGATCTTCCAAGGATCGATGGGAAGCTTCTTCCTGCCGTGTGGGACAGGAGGTGCCCTGCCCATCCTGGCTCATCCCTCCACCTCCCCCTCCCCCCCTCTCCCCCCCCCCCCCCCCCCCCCCCCCCCCCTGCATCAAGTCCTTGGCGTCTATACAGTATCTGCCCCCGTCATGCCCCGACACTGACCTGCAGCTTAATGGCGATCTCGATCTGGGCCAGCTGTGCCACGTCCTGCACCCGGGCCCAGGCCTCCTTGAAGATCTCGCACATGATGCGTGCCCAGCGGAAGATGTCCTGCGGGGGTTG